TGACTGTCTGCTACCTTTGCAAACTTCTGCTTCTCCTAGGATCAGAACGCCTGAGGAACACATGGCATCCTCCCCCCATTTTGCCCTTCTGTCATTCTGTCCTGTCAACCATTTCCAACTTGTCCTTCATGGGAACAGTGAGGTTTATGTGTTTCTCTGATAAATTGTTAGGAAAGAGAAATCAACTGTCTTTACAAATTAATTGTTTTACCCACAACTTTACTTTATCTTATGGTGCAACTTTTTTTTTTTAAACTTTTTCTAGGATGATACAATGTGACTATTGGCTGTCATGGGTTTCAGCATTCAGATATATCCCTACCAGTTCATTATCATTCATTTTTTTTAATATTCAAGTATTGTGGGCGCCCATATGTTTAATAACACTTGGAGAGTCTTCTTTTACCTGCTGTTCTTCATTGCGTTCTGTGTTCTTTCTCCCCAGCACAGCATCCCAGTGCTAACACCTTGTCCCAGGACACGTAGTCCCCTCATAGTATGCTGAGAAGAGTCTGTAGATACCAGCTTGTCACGCCATTCTGTGTGGCACTGATCTGGAGGGAGAGCAGGAAGTCTGTAAGGAGGACATATGTTTTTAAGATTCAAGGGGACTGAATCGTGAAGAGACCTTCTATTGTACACCCCTGTCTTCCAGAGCTTGCTGCCCATTAGGATGACAAGCTTGTTTTCCCATCTCATTTCCCCTCCTCGGGAACGCTGTGGCAGAACGTGCCATCCTGATGAATGAGTGAGCAGTCTGCATCCCAAACCCTCTCCAGTGCTGTGACGATTTTACTGCTTGTCCAGCGAGCCCTTGGCCTGAGTCTCTGTGTGTTGGCCTAGGCCAGCTCTCTGCTTAAGAACTTTCTTCTTGGTGCTGCAGTCACAGCTCAGTTTCAATTGCAATGCAACCGTGCTTCCTTTTCTGTCTCTGTAATTATTTTGTCTGTAGAAAAATGTCAGTAGTTCTGACAAATTGAATCCCGTGTTTACTGACTGCCTCGTCTTCTGAATCACAGGTTCCTGAATCAAGTCAAACAGGTTAGAAGACAGGTTCCTTCCACTTGAGTGTCACACCTACTCTTACCATTAGTGAGTGTGGGAATCTATCACGAACTTGCTCTGTATTAGGCAATTCATCGCTAGCTGTGTGGGTACTTTACCTAGTCTTATGTTTTCAGTGTGGAAATCTTCCCAGAAGCTTTCAGTAAAAAAAAAAATATTGAAATACATTTAGTTAATATGACTAGCATCGAGGCTGGAGACATGACCTGGCACTTAAGAGCATGCACGACTGTTGCAGAGGACCAGAGTTTGGTTCTCAGAAGCCATGTTCTGTTGCTCTGGATCAGCAGGATCCAGCGCCCTCTTCTGGAGTCTCTAGGCACCTGCACAGATGTATGCTCACCCCACACTTAATAATAAGAATAAAATAAGAAAAAAAATAGTAAGAAAAATAATAAGAAAAAATTCTTAACAGTAGTGACTAGTACCTGAGAGTTTGAGATAGTCCTCAAAATGGAGAGCAGAGGCAGAGAAGAGGAAAGGTAAAGGTTTGATTTCATCAGCGTCCTCATTTTAGCTGCTGCCATCTTCATAGGCAGTGCCCAGTACATGAACTTTTCTAGAAGGACCATGGAGGATGTGAAAGTTGGGAAGTATAGATGTTCAGGTCTTTCTTCTGTGGATGCAAACCTAGCTCCATACGGGGTTTGTTTTCTCTCATTGTCAGCTGGTCTGATACTCCTTAGCCCTCAAATGTTGTCTGCTTTTAGCAGAGATATACTTGGATTCATGATTTTTATAGCATACTTTCAAATCCTCTCTCACCTTCTTGATTGCTCTTCTATGGCAGCCTATGATATATAGTTACCCATAGTTACCCCTCTTCGTCAAAAATCTCGGAAAGTCTTTGGTTTGCCTGTAGAATGTGGGCATGGTACTTAAGCGGGAGTTTTTCCTGTGTTTGGTTGTGGTATTTCCCGATGCCATGCTAGGAGCTGAGGAATGTTGCTTCTAGTATTCTTCCATCCCTTGGTAACAATGAGTCAGTAAGAAAAAGTCTTAAGAATGTAATAATCTTCGTGTAGGATCATTAAGAATTTGGGGTTCTGTGAGAGCACCGATGAATCTGTTCATACTACTCATTTTTGGGTATCATAGATGTAGTAGACACTTGGATATTGGAACTGTCTATTCAAAAAGCATCTTTAAAAATGTTCATGTTAGTTAGGAACTGTCCGGTTTCTGGAAATGTAGAGAGCAATAAAGCATGGCCTTAGTCTTGAGCAAGTCACATGCTGTAGGGAAGGCGGCAGCAGAGTCCAGTGTGACTGCCATCCTTAGACCCACTTTCCGGGCCTGATGAGCACAGAGCATGCCGGGAAGGAAGCTTGCTTTAAGAGTCTTTTTATCATCAGTGTTGACTCACTGTATGTGCCAGACAGCACATGGAAGGGTTTTATATCTCATTTTCCTTTATGTATGCCAACTCCCAGAGGTTGGTCCTCGTAGGGACCTATTTTATAATTAGGAAAAACAGAGATTGAATAACTTGCTTAAAGTTACGTTACGTGTTGAGTCCAGATTCAAAGACAACGTGACACCTTTCTCAGAGGGAGACATTGTCTAGAACAGTGGCTCCCGACAAAATGGCATTGACAATATCCGCAGACATGTTTGATGGGCATTTCTGCTATCCAGCGGGAAGAGTCCAAAGTACAGGAAACCCTCCAAAGCAAAGAATGCCCAGGCTACAGGGTCACTAGTGAGAATGACCCAGGCTACTGTGTCACTAGTGAGAAGGGCCCAGGCACACTGTCACTAATGTGAAGCCTGCCTGTGACTCGGGAGCTACTTTATGTCTGCCTCTGAACAGTCATTTAGAGTGGTCAGTCACCTGTAGGTATCCATTGTGTCCAAATTCTAGAGATCTTGAAGGCCACCAGAGATCAGTGATGCCCAAATCTTCTATAAATGGGGCCAAAGAGATGGCTCAGCAGTTTATAACACTTGCTGCTCTTACACGTTGAATTCTCAGCACATTTAGTGACTCACAACTGTCTGTTTTCCCAGTTCCAGGGGATGTGATGCCCTCCTTTGGCCACTGCGGGATACTTGTGTGCCATGGAGCACATACAGACGAACAGGCACACAGATGTACACAAATAAATAAACATTTAAAAATTTTAACAAAATTTTTATAAGATTGAATATTTACATATGAATGCCACATCCTCCCACATATGGTAAATCTCATCTAGATAATGTTCAATATAAAATAAAATATGCAAGCTAAGTAAGTAGATGCTGTAACATACTGTTTTGGGAATGTGAACATGTATGTTCACTAATCACACAGTTTTATTTACAAGGTTTGTTGTGATTGTTATTTCTTTGGTTTTGTATTCTTGAGACAGGATCTTGCTGTATAGAGCAGACTGTCCTAGAACCCAGGCAGGGGCTTGTCTCAGCCTCCACTGAGAGCTGGGATTCCACATGTGCAACACCATACCTGGTTATTCTTTACATATTTTCACTGTGAGTATGCTTGAAGCTGTCAGTGCAAAAGGGTGGCTGTACTTCAAAACATTCAAAAACCAACAAGGGATAGATGACCTTAGAGATGACAAAGACACTGAGTCAAAGCTCTTAGGAATTTGGAAAATAGGTCTCTTGTCACTGAACTGCTCAGAATCTGTTTCTTGTGTGTAAAATTGAGCGGATTCTATGATTTTCTTTTATTTCTACAAGTCGCAAAAATCTGTGGAGATAAAGTGGTATTGTGGGTATGAATGCCCCTTATAAGACTTAAAATCAGCCAGATTGTGGCACATGCTTTTAATCTCAGTGCTTGGAAGGCAGAGGCAGGCAGATCTCTTGCGTTTCAGGCCAGCCTGGTCTCCAGAGTGAGTTCTAGGACAGCCAGGGCTACACAGAGAAACCCTGCCTCAAAAAACCAAGCCAACCAACCAACCAACCAAACAAACAAAAATTATCATCAAACAAACAAAACTATCATTTTGGAGTCTTTGGGTGAAAAAATATTTCCGTGTACCACAAGATTTAATAATATATAATATATTAAAAGCAAATAATTTAAATTGTAATTTTTTTCTTTATAAACTTTTGAATATTTGTGGTTTGAGAAGTTATTTAAATAATGTGCTTTTCTTCAAAATGAATAACAATCAGATTCACCCCTTAATTCCTTTCAAATTCTAACTTAATGGAAAGGAAAAGAATTGAAGTTGCTAAATCTGTTCCAGGTAGTAAATTTTAATGCCGTAAGTAACATGAACTAGATTCATCTTTCGAGTCCATGAGGCCGAACAGGTGTGCACTGTAGTCATCCATCAAATGGATGTAAACTCGTGAATTTTGTGTCTCTTGAGGTTTTTGGTGAGTGTAGTGGCATGGCGTGTGCGTGTTTTTCCCAGACAACAGGTAGTGCCAGCGCCTGGTCATCAGGCATGATTGTGGCCTTCCCTCCGAATGTGCCAGGTCCTCTGGTGACTCACCCAAGCCTTCAGGTGTGTACAGCACCACTCGTGTACCGCGCAGAAGCTGGAGTTATTTATTTATTTTGAGGGACGGATCCATTTCAGACTCTGGGGTAGGGGAGCTGCGAGGATGCTCCCTGCGCCTGCTCCTGGGCATAGTACAACTAGGGAGCCGCTCTTTTCCCCAGGAGGCCCAGCTGGGGACTGAGCCAGAGCCAGGGCCCCCTCCTTCCAGCTGGACCCTACATAAAGGTGTCAGATTCAAGTCCTCCCATAGGCCAATCTTCTGAAAGTGCGTTCAAGTTTCCATGGTGTTGTTGTTTTTTTTTTTTTTTTCTCCCAGAAGGGGAGGGCAGGAGGAGCTTTTGCTGTACAAATTCTTTTCCTTGTATGTAGAAGCTAAAAGGAAGCTTCGCACTGGGCATGTTCGGATGTGAATGGGTTTGCTGATAAGCAACAGCCTCCCGGAACCATAGACTTAAAATAGTCCTCCCACCACCTCCCCCCAGGAGCTGCAAATGGTATCTGCCAAACAGATGACAAAGTACCTTGGACTGAATCACACCGAGACAGCATTTTGAGCAGAACGCAGGCTAAACTCTTGTAATTACTGTTTATAGCTGGCCGAGGCTTCCTAGGAGAGGGCAAACACAAGAGGAAGTAAGTTTCCTGAACCTTTCAGATGGCTGTGCGCTAATTAAAGGGCAGCACGGGACGGGCAATTCTCCGACAGGCACCGAGTTGTTCCCGAGACCACAGTTCACCGCACGTTTTTCTCGGGAGGGAGCGAGCAGATAATTGGGATATTTTTTCCCCCTTGATTTTTCCTCCCATCTCCGTCTTGAACTCATGGCCTTGAACTCACAGTGAACTGAAGAAAGAAAGCGATGGATATGTCTGACCCCAATTTCTGGACTGTGCTCTCAAACTTTACTTTGCCTCATTTGAGGAGTGGGAACAGACTTCGGCGCACACAAAGGTAAAAAACGCGGGATCTTCCCCTGGAGTAGGGAAGGCTTTCGCTACCAGAGTCTGAGGGCTGCCGGGACCTCACCGCACCTGGCATTTTGTTTGTTTGTGACTGTTTGGAAAGTTTGTACCTTCTTGGGGCAGGGAGAGAATGTCTCTGTTTCAGTGGTTCCTCTCCTCTGCGGGGCTTCCTGGGGTTCCGTGAGCATGCTGCTCAGAATTCTTTTGCAGTGTGGATGATCAGACGTTGCCTTGCAATGGGGCGCTTTGTCTCTGACCATTTATCTACTTGTATTTTTATCATTTCATTCACCCAGACCTGGGCCTACTGCCATTCCTTATAGAGAGGCTCCCCTATGTCAGATACGAATCCGTGTTACAGAGATAACCCAGTGATCCTATTTCTCTCTGACTGCTCTTAAAGAAGATCTGTACAACTTTAGCATTTTGACTTTTTATTGTTTTGCTGACATTTATTACTCAGATAGGGCTGGCCTTTCATTTGTACTATGTATTTGACAGAATGGCTGTAGGTGGGGTAGAGTTTGTGGAGAGTCGAGATGGGACTCCTGCAAGTGAAAGGGAGGTCAGAGTGTGTTTGCAGCCAGCTGGAGTGAGATTATGATTTAAAGGAGGCATCTCATCCCCTTTCCAGTAGTGTTGATGTTCTTTTAGAGGGTTACACCCCCTCCGTTGTGCAAATACAGCTTCTTTTTTAAAATCAAAATTTGATTTGGCATATACGTGTGAACATGTTTGAAACGATCCAGTCAGATAAACAGGATGCCGACTATCAGATTTGGAATTTTGCAATCTCTGTGCTCTGCTCTCTAGAGAAATACAAGAAAATAGCTCTTTTGGTGGAGCAATACCTGTAACTATGGGTAGTGTTAACGCAGATGTGAAGTGCTTCCAAAAGTTAGTCTTTTTTATTTTTTAATTTTTAAGGTATTTTTTGTAGCTTTGAGTACATACACACACATACACACATACATATGCATATCCATAAATCATGTACATGCTAATCTCTCTCTCTTTATGTGTGTGTGTGTGTGTGTATGTGTGTGTGTGTGTGAGAGAGAGAGAGAGAGAGAGAGAGAGAGAGCAAGCTCTGAAAGTTTTTAAGATCATATTAATGCAACTTGAACAATGCTGACATCCCTAAATCCCATTGGATTCTTCAGCTGTTTTTCTTGTTTTATGATATACCTGGGTTCAGATAATCTCTTAGGATTACCCCACCCTCTTACACTGTGTCCTCCATGCTCCCAAATTTTCAACATAACAAGTAAAGTTGAGGAGAAATACAGGGTCTCTGTGAATGGGCCATTGTGTTTCGCCATGCTAAACGCCAAGGTTCTCACCTGTTCTGTTTGGTTAGAGCATTTTGTTTCCCAGGAGGGCAGTCCTGGCGGTGCCACAATTCTGCCCTTACCTGGAGCCAGATAAAGAGGCCCTGCCATTGGACCTGTGTGTCTGGTCCTGAAAAGCAGGTGGAACCTTTCTTCCTGGTCCCTGCCCACCTGTTGATAGTCCCATGGAAAGAGTCTGCTGCGTGAGGAATTCTCAGGCTGGACAGACCTGTGTCTTAGGACATTATCTGGTCTAGCCTGCTCACCCCAATTAAGTCTGATGTAACCTGGGCCAGGAGAGTTGGGGAGAGCTGTCTCCACTCTCCAAGTCATGGACCTATATCTTCAGTTCAGGGAAACAGAAAGATGGGTTCTCTTCTTTCTTTCTTGGAGTCTGGGGTTGGGAAATGTGCCCCGCAGTCCACCTGAGCAGACACCCATCTACTTACTGTCTATCAACAGGATAGCCTTACTTACTGATCTAGCGTCCCTGATCCAGAATGCTTAGGAACATTGTTGAGTTCGGAATATGTGCATAGATGTCACCGGTGGAACGTCCTTAATTAGAAACCACTCTAAAACCCAAAACTTAGGAACGTACTCAGTTTATGATTTTCTGGCAGTTTGGTCTTTGAGTTCTCTGATGAGGGAGCTCAGCTTGTCTGTGGACACGGAAGGCTGCAGGGGCAGAGCCCCTCCTGTGGTGTGTGTGGCTGTGCAGGTCAGCTGTGTCCTTCCCCAAGCCTGTGGGAAATGTGTGCATATCCTGTGGCCTTCCCTTTCTGGGATGTCTCTTAATGGATCCAGATCCTGATTTTTCCAAGTCTCTCTCTCAACCTGGGAAGTCTGTACTTTCCAAAGGATCTCTTTATTCCTAAGTGTGCTGTCCTTTTAACTGGGCTACTGTCCTGACTGCACACTAGCTGACTTGTATGATAGATGCTACTTTTTCTGGTTCACATTGAACATTGTTGTAACCTGTTAGGAAATACCAGCTCCTAGGAGTGAAATTTAGCTCTAAGCCTGTCAGTGAGCATCATAGAACTCATTGGGACAGGACGGATGTACCACTTAAACAGAAGATTGGATGCTTCTTCATCCTCACCGTAAAAACCTGAACTGTGGCAGATGCTGTCACCGTACAAGCCATGGGTTTGCTTCATTACAGTTGTCCTGCTGGTCCAGCATGGCACGGCCTTGTTCATTTCTCCGTTCACACTCTGTTCACACCAACTCAGCGTCCTTCCTGGCCTGAAACTCCTGGAGTTCCCGGGGAAAGGGACTCACAGATTGACTTTCACACACAGATATTTAGGATGGCACCAAAATCCTTGTACGTCAAACATGGTACAGCCACGGGAGGCATGGGTTGTCTGAGTATATGCAGACTAAAGACCAGAGTCCTTTGGAAATGGTTTCTGTGTAGCTGTCTGTCCATACACCTTCCTTCTTTTCCCCTCTCCTCAAACCATCTCAATACCATTGTTCCGTTGCATTGAGAGACACAGATCTGAACTTCATAGATAGGCTCTTCCCAGCTTCTCAGCTCAGAATGGAGTAAATGCTGCATGCAGCTTTAACTTCATTGACCTGTAGATATGTCTGCCATCCATTGAGAATCCCTTACAATGGAAAGGAGCTGTGGGCATCCATGTCAGCACCTGTTCGAGTGCATTTTCTTTTCTCATTGGATTAAAAACTTGGCGAAGAGGAGGTCAAGGGTCCTGCAGCCGTGTCTCCTCTGGGTCCCATGCTTCTGGGTTTCTGGGTCGGTCTTTACTCGTCCTGAAATGCTCTAGAGGTTCTGGAGGTGCTTGATTTTTAACTCACTCTTTCTTTTCTCTTCTTTTCCTTTCTTTTCTTTTCTTTCCTTTCCTTTCCCTTCCCCCTTCCTTCCTTCCTTCCTTCCTTCCTTCCTTTCTTCCTTCCTTCCTTCCTTTCTCTCCCTCTATTTTTTCTCTCTTTCACTTCTTATTGTTTTTGCTTTTTTTTAAAGTCAGGGCTTCTCTGTGTAACAGTTCTGGCTGTTCTAGAACTCACTTTGTAGACCAGGCTGGCCTTGAACTCATGAAGATCCACCTGTCTCTGCCTTCCAAGTGCTGGGATTAAAGGTGTGCGCCACCACTGCCTGGCGATTTTTAACTGTCAGTTTCCATAATCTGGCATGTTGTCATTGGCTTAGGTGTTTTTCTCCAAACCCTAATGACAGCCCCTTCCCGGCCAAATTAAGAAAACCTTTCTCCAGGCAAACACACAGTCTAGTTCTCTCGATCACGTCAAGCAAATCTTCCAAATATATTTTCTGAGGATTCCAACTTGTAAGAACCAAGGAATAAATGAAGTTTTCTTGCTATTGTTTTGTTTTGCTTTTTTCCTTATTTTCGGAGTTTGCATTACTTAGGGTTGTTCTGAGCAGCAGGCATGTGCAAGGATTTTTAACTGTCAATTGTCAAAATAGATTGAATCTTTGTGAACACTGCCCCTTCCCTTCAGGAACATCTGTAGGATTTGGGGTTTTCCTGTTTGTTTTGGTCGAGCATATATGAGAATGATGGAAAATGGACTTTCGTTCTGCCCTGACATCCACAGTAGCATCCACGGTAAACTTGCACTCACCTCTCTGGTTGGAAGTCCAGGTGAGGCGACAGGTGTTGAGCATCTCCTGTGTACCAGGGTGTGTGACTCAAAGCCGAAAGCCCAGTGCATGCTTTCTGTGAAACATGCAAAGAACATCCATATAAACCAAGGCACAGTAAGTCACAGACACACTGGGACAAACGCGGGACTTGGATCCAGGGAGCCAGGAGAGGCGGTTCTGAAAGATAAGCTGATATTTCGCAGCTAGGATAGGGCCCTCTCAAAGTGGGCAGAAATGCTGTTAACAAAGGCTTAGTGATGTGCCAATGCAGAAATCAGGGAAGACTCATAGCTGAGTCTTGTTGGAGCAGAAAGATCCAGAGCGCGAATGACCATTGCCGGAGCTACACTGTGAAAAGGCAATGGGAGACGGAGGAGGATCTGAACTTAGTACACTTGAGTTTAACCCTGGACCCCGTGGTGCTGGGCAAGTGCACTCTCCTGAACTTGAGTTACTCCATCTTTGAAATAGGGAGATGTAACTTCCTTATTGGGTTATGTGTGCGAGTGTCATTACTGCTTCCTTTCATCCCTAACAGGGTCTCCTCTGCTGCCCTCTCATCTCTCCTTCGTTCCAGCTTGGCTAATGAGCCTTTCATTTTCCTAATGCAATTACTGGTGAATAAAAACTCCAAGTAAATCTTAGCTGCTGACATCACCGCTGTCTTGCCAGCCCGGGGATGAGTAGTCAGTGATGTGACTGAGGAGAGCTGAGGGGGTGTATAATCCAGTGGAGGAAGGGGGATGTCTGGTGGTTCTGGGGACCTCTGGTCAGTAAGCCGCTGCGTTAGCCTTGCTGAAACGTTTTTTTCTAAGTTTAAAAACAAAGAGAAGTGAAAGATACGATGGGAGTCAGTGAGCCATTGGCTCTGAGGGGGCAAATGAGGATTCCATGATGGCTCTGAAAAGTGTTTTTGGCTTGAGGGCCATGTGGGTGGCAATCTGGAACCACCAAACCTGTGACAGTGGGGGATGGGAGAAGAGAGGGGAACCTGTACTTGGAGTTGCTCCTTCTGTCCCA